TTCTTTGCCGTGTTTGGAGTCGGATACTTTTGTACAGCGATTATTTTTGATTCATCTGTCTCGATCCCTTTTTGAGATATTTTGTAACCTAAATATTTTAATTCAGGGGCTGCAAATTTGCACTTTTCGACATTAACTTTTAGACCGGCCTCATTTAATAAAGAAAACACCTGTCTTAAATCCTGTACATGTTGGTCTAGATTATCACTAGTAATAATGATATCGTCTAAATAGATAAATGTGGACTTTCCGAGAACAGGTCTTAACACAATGTCCATGCATCGCTGAAATGTTGCTGGGGCGCCTGAAAGGCCAAACGGCATTCGCAAAAATGCATAAGTGCCAGACTTGGTTATAAAAGCAGTCTTAGGCACGTCCTCAGGCCTGATCCCTATTTGAAAATAACCATTCGTTAAGTCTAAAGTTGTCATAAATTTGGTTGATTTTATGTTCCTTAAAATTTCTTCTATAATCGGTAACGGATATACCGGATATTTCGTTATGGAATTTAATTTACGGTAATCAATAGCGAATCTCCACCTTTTTGGATGCTCCAAAGGATAATCATTATTTTTCTTACATAAAACCACCGGACTAGCATAACTACTTGAGATAGGCGTTACGATCTTTTTACGTAGCATATCGGTAATATGCCATTCTATAATTTTTTCCTTATTCTTATCATACCGGTATGGTTTTTGACGAACCGGCAATGCATCTCCGGTGTCAATACTATGGTTAGTAACCTGTGTAAATCCTGGAATATCACTAAATAAGGAAGCAAATTCACTTACCACTTGTCGGATTCTATCTTGCTCGTCATTAGGCAGGTGGTCGAGATTTAACCTTGGCGGTTCAACCTTTTCTCTACACGCACTGGTTTCATCGTCAGCTTAAGAGACGCTTCATTAAAATCCAGTGTAGCTTGTGCGTCTGAAAGAAAGTCTATTCCTAGTATTAAGTGTGCTTGCAAATTCTTTACTATAAAAAACATCACCTTTACTTGTTCGTCCTTGATACGGATGTACAAAGGTACTTTACCTACGCACTTACATTGTTCTCCTTGCGCCGCTAATACTGTTGTATTATCCGCATTATATATGCGGTATTTGCGAAAATACTTTCTAAAAAAGACTTCTGCCACACAGGAACACTGCGCGCCGGTATCCAGGAGTGCGGTGGCCGGGATATTATTTACCAAGACTTCAATCTTCGGAAGAGTTAAATTTTTCACCATTACTGTATTTAACTTGTAGGAAGAGGGGTTTTCGTGGCCTTCGGATTTCCGCACCCTCTCGTCAGCAGAAATCCGTTTTAGTTTAAATTATTTTTCCTTTCGGTGCTTTCCTTCTTTCTCCACTGGCCTTGAGACTTTTTTCCTGGGTTGCTATTGAACTGTCGACGTTCGCCGGCTGTTTTTGAATGCTCGGGTTTCCTTGCCCACTGATTCGCTTTTTCTCCGTAGCCATGTGCTTGAGTTTGCTGTAGTCTTGGCGTACCAAATTGGTTTCGCTGTTGATATTGGCGTCTTCTTTCGACGTCCGCCGTTCTTCTACTTTCAAACTGGATTGCTAGCTCAAATAATTTTTCCAGTGTAGTCGGATTTCTCAATTCAATAAAGTCTTGCACTTGGGGTAGTAACCTCGGCAAAATCACTTGAATTATTTCAGGATCCGGACGGTTTCCATACAAGAGCTTGAAAACGTGAATTTTTCTTAAAATAAACCTGGAGTTGTTTTCCATTCTTTGTTGATATATACTGAAAAGTTCTGTTTCTAATTTCGCACGATCCCTTACAACAGGGAAGGCTTTTAGTAGGGCAGTCTTGAAATTTTCGTAGGTATAGGTGGGACTTCCTGCTTGACCCAAGAGACTTCTGCCGATACATTTGAACCAGTTAAGCGCTTGGCCCCTCAAAGCGCTGGTAGCTAAGGTAACTTTTTGAAACTCGTGCACGGGGTAGAGCATGAAGTGGTCATCCAATTTTTCCAAAAAACTGGTTACCTGTGAGTTTCCATTAAACGTTGCTTCTGGTTTCATCGAAGCGCGCATGGTCTGGACAATATACCCAAATCCTTCCAGGGCGGCAGCTGGCATTTCTGGATTCTGAGCTGTTTTTCCGCAGGCAGCACAGGTTCTTCTTGAAACTCGGCCATGGTTATTCTTCGTCGGGCGCCACTATCAGGTTCAATGTTTCTTCTAACCTTCTTCGGAAACATACAATGACCTGACTAGAACAGAGAGCTTACTAAAGCTATGTTCACTAATTGTAGTAAGTAGACAGGATACAGACGAAGGGTATACAAAACCCTTTATTTTTTTTCTTTATATACAATGACTTCCGTACTTCGGAATACAATGACCCTCCACTCGGGGTCTAACTTAAAAGATATCAAAATAAAACTAAACTCTAATTTAACTTTAGAATAAGATTGGCCTTATAATAACAGGAAAGCGTATGTAGCACAGAGACTGTGAACACTACAATACGTTTAATTTATCAAGAGGATTAAAACCTCTGGCCTGGAAGGCAAAGTAGCAACTGCGTAACTTCTAAGGTAAGCGGCCTGCTTCGAACTCACGGCTTCCTCTCTTTGCTTGGCAAAAAGGCCACACTTAAATACTTGGCGTTCGCCAGACAACTTTGCATAAACTCCTTCACGCTTATAATTCTGGCCGGAAGTAGAAAATAAGAAGTGATAGTAAAGATTTAAAATAAAATAAACGTTAGTAAAACTTAAGATCCTTACAACCTGACGCCTCTTTTTGCTGATTTTTATATCCACCGCCCTTAGATTTACCAGCGCTCTTGTTATTGAACTTTTCACTTTTTCCCGTCTGCCGATACGCCTTGTACTGAACTTGTGGTTTCTTTTGGGGAGTAAATCTTGAGTACTGGCAAAACTGACTTGCACGCGCTTTCTCCGAGTTTCTTCTACTTTAGAATTTCACTGCAAGCTGAAATAGAACTTCTAATGTTTGCGGATTACGCATTTCGAGGAAATCTTGCGCTGACGACAGAAGACACGGTAGAATTATTTCGATAATTTCTTTATCGGGCCTTTTCCCGTATAATAGATTAAAAATATGAACTTTTCTTAAAATGAACTCTGTCAAATTCTCGATTGTGCCTTGGTATTTACTATACAATTCTGATTCAAGCTTCGCACGATCTTTAACAACTGGAAATGCTTTTATTAATGCAGATTTAAAATTTTCCCAGTTATATGATTCAGATCCTGGGTCCTCCAACAAGAACTGTCCTATACTCTTCTGCCATCTAAGGGCTTGACCTTTTAAGGCTGTCGTAGCGATGATCACTTTTTGTAGCTGATTCACAGGATGTAAGGTGAAATGTAGGTCTAGTTGCTCCAAAAATGTCAGGACTGAGCCCTTGCCATCGAAAGTGGCTGTTGGTGTCATGGCTGCATGCAGCGTTTCCACGAGGAATCCAAACCCTTCTACTGGATTCGTGGATGTTGTAGGGACCTGAAAGGTCGGAGGGGTCAACGTACACTTCCCGGACTCTAACGACATGGTCCGTTAAAAAAACTTTTCTGGCGCAAAATGTAGAGTTCCTCACTTTGGAATTCTAAGTTAATGTTGGAAGAGAAGAATCTAAGAACTGATAAACGAATAATCGCTTGAGTTCGGTGAAAAGAAACAACAAGATAGAAGGGTAACTAACCCTTTATTATTCCAATAAGATTTAACAAAACTCCGACTATGAGTGTACAAGCAGAGCCCGCACTTGGACTTGAACTTAAAAGACTAAGAATTAAACTAAAACTAAGATTAACTAAAGAAGTATAGCCGAATCTATCAAGGTTCAAATCGAGCTAGCCCCTTAACTTATTTGACTACGAAGCTTAGCAAGGGCCTGAGTACGGCCGAGCGTAATAACAGCTTTGAGAGAGAGAGTGGCCAAAAAGGCAGACGCGCTTAAATCAGTAACTCTGATTCTCTGTGACTCAGGAAGTAAATTCATCGTTTAAATACCGCTCCACCTCATTAAATATTCGTTCTTCAACAGCTACCTCCACGACCGCCATATCCAGTTTGTAAATAACGACGGTACGACATCCAAGGTACAAGAAAAAGATTGTCCGCAGGGGTCCTGTGCGGGACCTCTGGAACCTCACCTTCAATTCAGTCCTTGAAACCAACTGGCCACAGCATACAAACATCACTGCTTATGCAGACGACGTAGCCCTGCTCGTAAGAGGACGCACCAGGAAAGAACTGGAACGCAAGAGCACAGAGACCTGCACCTTATTTACCACCGCATGCAACAAACTAAAGCTCACGATCTCCATAAGAAAATCATCAGCAATAATAATTCCCAGACGAGGTACCAATCCAACTCGTCGTCCATGCATAAAACTCCTAGGCCGAAACATCAAAATTGTGCGGAATCTCAAGTATTTAGGGGTAGTATGGGACCAAGGTCTCACCTGAATTCCGCATATCATGGAAACCAGAAACAAAACGTCAATTATCGCTCGCATAGAAAGACAATTTCAAGGTCGCAACTGGAGCCAAAACCCCCATATCCAAAAAGTGCTATACCTCACAGTTGTAGAAAAAATAGCTTTATACTCTGCAGCGATCTAGGCGCAGCCAATGGGAACTCGCAAGATCAGACAACTTACAACGCAACAATGCCCCTTCGCCCTGCAATTAAGCAAAGCCTACCGCACAGCCGCCACTAGTGCAGAAACAGTTCTAGCCGGCATATTACCAATCCATATAAAAGCAGAGATGGAGGCAACTTTCACTAAATTGATAAACCTACGAAAAAATGCAACTTTCGCAAATACCAGATACAGTCCAGTTCAGTTCGAACGTCCCTCCACTTCTACTCATACTCATCCAGCTCTCAGAGGAAGTGGAATCCACATCAAAATTGACAAGCAACAGACTCACACCTCGAGACACGCACCACGGAATGGGAGACCAGATCTACACAGACGGTTCAAAGCAGGAGAATAGTGTAGGCAATGCTTTTAGTGCACTATGAGAATGGCAAAATTGTACACGACTGGCAAGGACAACTTCGCACTCACAATAGCATCTTCCAGGCGGAAGTACTGGGAATTACGGCAGCAGTGCAACATCTCATAGATTACCAGATCCCACGAGCAAATATCTATACCGATAGCCTTTCAACTTTACTTGCACTTGAGAACCATCATCATGTCTCACCGCTCATACTCAGTATCCGACATCCCCTTATGCAACACCCTCATTACCATCTCAATCTAGTCTGGGTTAAAGCCCATGCGAATAATGAGGGCAACGAAGCTGCTGACACGTTGGCTAAAGATGCAATTTCCACCCCGACAGCCCAACCCATCACCGTACCTGCGCCCTGCTCTTATCTAAAGGGCCTTTTACGAGAGCAAGGAATGCACCAATGGCAACGTGAGTGGACCGAATGCGAGACAGGCAGACGGACTTTCACCTACCTCCCGAAAGTTTCCACCGATCGACTCTTTGCCGTAGCACATCTCACCTACTTCATCACGGGTCACGGCCCGTTTCCCAGCTATTACAATTGCCACGGAATCTTAAATACCGATATCTGTGTCTGTGGATCAGAAGGGTCACCAGACCATTACGTATTTGAATGTCCTTTGACGGCTGCACACCATCTCTCGCTACTTACAAATAATAGGAACGCCTATCACCGGTTCCTTATAACGCATAAAGGAGCGGTTAATTCAATCTCCAGCATCATGAATACCATCGCGGCATTGGGCACAGACCTTTGCCTACCGTGCTAAAATGACGCTCTGGTGTACTGACGATAAGCTCTAAGAGTAGTCCAATGGATTTTACAATATCTGTTTTTTTTTTTTTTTTTTTTTTTTTTAAATTTATGTTCTTAGCGACGCTACAATAGTCAACGCCTTAGCAATCTAACTTCACTCTTTGCACATATGAGTATTCATGAACTCATCATTCATCATTCAACATGTACCTGTAATTATATACAACAGAACTGCCTTACACTAACATTGTGCTCCAGCTTTCATGTGACTTCATGTACTTCATTTGTCTTTTTGTGCCTTAAGTGACTATGTGTATGTACCTGGTTTTTTGTGCTCTCTGTTTATGCATTTTACGCATTGTGCTTTGTGTGTTATTGCCTATGCATTTTTATGTCTTTTTATGCGTACTTCTTATTATCCAAGTATTTTTAGTTTAACTACCTACTATCTGTAACACCACAGCTTGCCTCTTCAATCTGTAATACAGTCCTACTAATGCCCTTATAAGGCCATGTACTTCCCTTTGACAACCTCAATAATCTTCTGGTGCAGCCTCGTGTGGCTCCAGGAGGCTTTTACCGTAGTTAGAGGAGGGCGTGGAACACATGCCTGTTTACCTCTGTGAGACACCTACCTACCTAAGTAACTTCGTGGTTTAAATACCGCTCTTTCTCATTAAATATTCAGCAAGATTCCAAAACTACGTTCTGGCAGGAAGTAGTAAGTTGAAGTTAAGAATTTGACAGGAAAGGAACTTAAAATTTAACAGTTAATAAAATTAACATAATTCTTACATATTAGTAAAACAAAACACGACTCTATAAATCGTACAAAACGTTTATTGTATGTAAAGTAAAATTCCAATTATATCAATTATCCGAATCAATTGGGACCGGCCGTACTCGGATATTTGGATTTTATGCGAAGAAAGGGTCTACGTACATTTTAATTAATTATTGTATGTACTGTGAATTGAAACTGGAAGAAAAAACTATTTTTATAGAAAAAGAGGTTTTAATTAATTAAAATTAAAAGGCAACTTTTTTACGTGCATTTTATATAGCTACTGTACAGTACTTACAAGTGCTGAAAGTCATTGCTTGCTGAATATCTCGGTCAAAGTAAGCTGTTTGACTGTCTTCATCCATTTTCGTGCAGTCAAGTCGCGCGTCCGCTTCATAATGAAAAGTTGCATGTGGTCACACTCGGGCTGACGCTCCATCCACTTCAGCGTAAGTTCGAGGCTGGCAGACAGTTCACTAGCAGATGGTCCCGTGTCTGATTCAACTTCGATACTAAGGTCATCTTCTTCCTTGACCCTTTCTTCTCTCACACTTTTAATAAGTTCATCATTTAGAATTTGAAACCCAAGGACTGACGAATTTGAAACCCAAGGACACACACCATCCATCCTGCTGTATCCTCAGCATTAACTTCTGAACATCGAGGAATTTCCAAAAGATTGTTTCTTAATTCCGGCACGTCATCCTCATCTTCTTCTGTCTCTTCCCTTTCTTTTTCTTGAGCTTCTTTTTTCCTTTTTCTCCTTTTCCTTCTCTTCTTCAGTTGATTCTGAAATATTTTGAAATTCTGAAAGCGATTCGGATAATCAGAGATTCGGACAGTCGGAGTTAGGATAATTGGAGTTCTACTGTACTTAAAATGACTACATAATCTTGTAGAATTATGTATAAATATTGTGAAGTTACCATTTATTTATTGACCACAGAACTGCTCAAAATGCTTTTTCTCATTTAACGGACTCGTACTTCGCGATGCACAGATGTATTTCCTTGAAATGCACAGATTTTATTTAATGAAACCAATTTCAACTCTACTCAGCTTAATTTCTCTTAATTTGTAGTTCATATTTATTTGCTTCCTTTCCTGTTTCCTATACATCTAGTCGTGGTTAGAAACTTTTTTGTTAAGCCATCGACTGAAAAGTCAACTTAAATTCGGGGAAACACATTTGAATTCTCACTAAGCGAAAATTTAGCAATAGCTGAGTGAAGCAACGATCATAAATTGTAATGATGCTATGAAAATGTTACTTAGATGATACTTAAGAATTTATAAAAAAGGTTCATTTTTTTAAATCAAAGCATGTGTTACATATTTGGATCGTTGTTATTCGCAGTTTCCAATTTCTAGAACTCACTCAATACTTCAAGTTTTTTTTAATTTCAAATCGCAATCCAGCGATCCCAACAAATTTTCGATTGCCAATGTATTTCTGCAGTCACAAGGATTAAGCATTACTGACTTGCAAAATTCAAAGTTCTTAACTTTTATGACCTTCGAGATTTTTTAGCGGGACATCGAGTATCGGAATGCATAATAATAGAATACTTACATTAATTTTTAAAACCTACAGTTAGTCAATACACTCTTAAAGGCAGAATGTTGAATTTATTTTCTTGTTATCGTTAATTACTTTAAAGAACTAAAGCTACCATTTAATTCTATAAAATGAAACTGACGAAGAGAAAAAATTTTGGTTATTAATTTTTTTATTTGCGTGTTATAAGTTGTAAATGTTGTGCTTATAAGTTTTAAAACAAGTATGAAAATGTTTACAAAGATCTACATGTTGTTACGAATATTGAATATAGGTAAATAATTTTAGTGTCGTTATATGTAAATTGTAATACTAGTATAATTTAACATGAAAGGCCTGAAGAATGTGAAACATCGCCAGAAAAAACATGGTACAGGGGTAAGTCCATTTATTGAAGTAGAAGGCTCACTCGCCAACTTAAACTGGCGATGGTTTTGGGGGCTAATTTTTATCGTCAAATTTAGCGAGAAAGTGTATGCCTTCCAGCAACTTTGAAAAATCGAAGGTACTGGACATTTCTCGACGAACAGGGGAAAACTGTATGAGACCGGAGAGCGCATTCTTTTAGTTTAGTTCAGAGCTTACCTCAGAGTATTGAGACTACTGACGGACAACTGTGCGAGGTTGGCATTTGAGGCTTTCGTATTGCCTGTGTTTAATACTCTTGGTAGTTTGAAGTGGTAACTACGGATTGTGCTTTGTTACACTGAGAAGAGCTGTAAAATGTTCCGGAACTGTGAAGTGTTTCTTCTCGTAAAATAAATTTCATCAGGCTATCATGGATTCTGTGTACGATCCATTACAAACCCGTACGCACATAACAGTATGTTTGTTATCATGCATTTTCCATGGAATCATAATGAAAACGAGATCGAAGATATTCATTACAGGCAAGCATCGTTGCTGAAGATCTCAATTTTTATGGTGCTCATATATTCTTTGGTCGTTAACAGATCTTAATTTTCTGTGGATCCTACGAGAGTATACGAATAATAATTTGGAAATCATGACATTTTATTTTACATAAAAAGTAGTAAATAAAGTGTAGGGATCGAAGGAAAGTGTAAAGGGTTAGATTTCGTAATATCTATAAAAATGGTTTCTCTAAATTTAAAAGGCGCAAACATGTGCTTTTGCGTCATTTAAACATTTTATTGACTGGAATTATAGTAACTACTAGAAACGGTTGCTAGTAGGTTAAGGACTTTTGCGTATATGGTGTATAGTGTTTTGGGATAAAATTTTAAGTTTGAAACGTTTAACTCAATATTTCATAGAACATTTCTTGACGTAGCCAGGTCTTGTTGCTTCGTAATTAAACTCTGTTTTATGATGTGTTACGATTATGCCATAGGGTGATAGCTGCTTAGAACCAATTACTTAGCCACGAAAGATTACTTAGAATAACCAGTTACTAAGAAACGACACGAGTCTTTTCTCTACTGTATGTGAAAAGAAATTGTAGGTGATATATTTTAAAAATCGACTATAAGTATTCAGTTGTTCAATATCATAGCTCAAAATCAGATTTTTAGAGCATGGCAGTCCTAAAAAGATTAAGCGAATGTATTGCTTGTTCGAAATTTTCTTGATAAGTGATTTTAATGAAACGTGACGAAAGAAATGGAAAGGTTAAGCAACACAGATTTCAGTTTATATTCCGTTACAACTGCATACCCTTCAACTATATTTTGAAATGTAATTTTCAGAGTAATTGTTTAATTATAGCATTAATTTCCTAACTAAATCCAAGCTATACAGGATGTCCCATCAAGACCGCCCAAACTTTTCACAGCCAGATTCCTTGCTCGGAATACATAAAAAATGACCAAGAAGCTCTATCTGTACGATCCATAGTTTTCAAGATAAATGCGAAAGAAAGGTATGGCGTCATATCAGGTGCAGAATATCGGTGTTTGCATATATCTACATAGGAATGTTCAAAACGTCCACCGCGCATGTCGTAGCATGCATGCGAGCACTGTGGAATGGCTGACTGCATACGTTGCAGAAGCATGTTGTTCACCATAGTATACGCAGCAAGAAGGCGAGCAACGATAAGTCACTTTCTGTAGTAACTAGATATTGATAGACCATTTCCTTCAGATGAACCCATAAGAAGAAATCCAAAGGGTCAGATACTGCGATCGCGGCAGTCATAAAACTTCACGTCCAATCCAGAGGCCCACCAGCGGCCGAGCGGTAAAGTCGCTGAACACTGGTAGTTCGGTCCGAGGTTCGAATCCCGCGAACGGGCTGGCTGCATGGGCGGTTTCGTGGTTTTCCCCATGTGTAACGTGTATACGAGCCAGTTTCCCTTAGAAAGTCCTCCACGAAGGCATCCCTCCTCTTAGGCAGATAGCCCTCGAAGCTTTGCCATAATCACACACACACGTCCAATCCAGATACCTGTGTATTCCATATACAGCCAATCACGTGCAGGAACGTTGAAATACGTTGTAGTTGCAGCAAGGTGGAATCCTAAGCGATGCTACGGATACGACACCATACGGGTTTTCTCATTTATCTAGAAAACTATGGGTCGTACAGATGCAGTTTCCTGGGCATTTTTTATGTGTTTTAAGCCCAGGAATATGACTGTGCAGAGTTTGGGTGGTCTTGATGGGATACCATGTATATCTTTAGGATACCAGGTTTGCTTATCACCTCA